GCTCTGCAACTCCGATCTCGCGGCCGGTGGCGGCGTCGGCGGCGGCGGCGACGGGAGGGCTGCCCGTTGGGCTGATGGCGTAGCCCGCCGCCGGGGGGTAAGGGGGTGGTGAATGTTCGTTGCGGGGTGGTTGCAGCTGGTGGTGTTGGTTAGCCTGGTGGTGCTGGGCCGAGCTGGGGTAGGGGGCGGCACGTGGCGACGAATCAACCACCGTTGAGGGGATAGCAGCAGAGGTCCAGACGGGGCCGCCGCCGCCGCTGCCGCCGCCGCCGCCGTCGCCGGATGCACCCGGCTCCACGGAAGCGGTAGCAGGTGTGCGGTTGCTTGGGATCGAGGAGCTCCGGCCCAGGTCTCTCAGCTGCAGGAGGATGTAGGCCGAAGATGTCCGGGACGTACCATCCTCGTGGCTTCCGTTCTTGCCGCCGTCAAGCTTGGCATCATCTACCCCGACCGCCGGCGGCATCGGCGACGGTGATGACGTACTGGGTCCGGGACCCTGTTCGGTGGAAGTGGCCCTCGCTGTTTCCGCCGCTGCTGCAGCCGGGAGTCCGTTACCCTGGGTCCGTCCGTCGGTAGTCCTGCTATTGCTCCAAGGGGCGTCGCCCATAAGCGGGTTTGTCTGTCGCTCACGGCTTGTTGCCGTACCGTTTCGCACACGCAAAAAAATCTGGGTCGTTTGCAGCCGCGGGAGAAGTGCGGCAGGGATGGGAAAAAACAGGACCGCTACACGAGTTAGGGGAGGTGGAGCACGAACCAACGTTGAACGAACTCGAGAAACTATGCTGCTGTAGCTAAAAAAAGCAAGAAAAAATATGTATCAGCTGCCCCGAGTAAAGAAGGGCAGCTGTCGAGCGCGAGAAGACGCGCTTGACCTAACGTGGAGACACATACTGCTGTAGCACAGCGCCAGTGAAACGCGTGCTCAGGTCCCGAGGTGCTCTCTGGCTCCGTAAAAAAATATTCCAACGCACCAAGTGGTAAATGCAGTGCTCTGTAGCCCCGCCCCCTGGTCCCTTGCCAAATGAAAAAAAAAAAAACATGCGTGACAGCAGTACGTACGCGAGAAACGTCAGAGGAGTATCCATCTACCCGGGTCACCACTCCGTGGGGTGCGACGTTGTGATTGGCCATTAAGAGCGCCTGGGGGGGGCACTGCATTGATGAAGTAAATTTCTCGGCAGCTCGTTTCTCATTATTTTCTCCGCGGGGTACCCCAACAGCGACTACTGCTGTGGTAGGTTTTTAGTGCAGGCTTCCTCGCTAGCACCTGTTCTTACACAAAGCTCGTACATACCTTGTTGTCATCCAAAAACCCAAAAAACAACTAAATAACAAACAAGCACCAGAATATTGTGTCTGCTATTTTTTTAAGCGTGAATTTCTAAGGTACAGGTTCAACTATTATTATGTTTCTGAAAAGTCTTCATAGTACATTGTTGATGAACAACGTCGTTCGCGACGCATATATGCATACCAGGCAAGTTATGCGTACAACTGCATATTCGGTATCCGACGGCGCCGACTTGAAAGAAAACAACAGCACTTCAGACTTCAGACACCTCCACTTGTCGCGGAGGCATGTGAGTTACCCAAGGATTCTCCGCGGTCAACGCCGTCACTAGATGATTGCTGTCCCACCAACCTTCATTCTCGAATTTATGTACCATACACAATATGCTGCACGCAAAAAAGAGAGAACCAGAAGTACACAGCAGCAGTGCATGTGTACACGGTGATATTGTAGGAAAACACGGGCGGTGACTATAGCTTGCAGCTTGCCGCTTGCAGCCCTTCTCTGCTTCCCATTGCTTACCAGGTATGCCGCAGATATTCTACTCATGATCAAACTCTGAGGCCGCTGCTGCACTGGGCGCGCAATACAAATAATCCGCCGCAAACTCTGCGTACAAGCAAGTAACGGCACTACAATCGTACCGTCGAACTACCCCATTAATGTGTCTACGTATGCGACAGACAGACATTGTTGACATGTACGATGTAGTACTCCGGAGTATCTACCGTCCGTGTGTTGCACAAGATGTTTCCGCCACTCCCCAATGATATTGCCTTGGAACGCACTTGTGTTTACAGTAGTGAGCATACGGCCGGCAGCGCGGACCCCCGTGTGTCTCTTTCGTACGTACTGCATGTGCTCGCATGCACATGCATATGGACAGCAGTGATACATTCAAAAACACACGGACGGCCACTTTTTTCCGCCCCGACTTGAATTTTTAAATGTTTAAAAAAAATCTGCTGCTGTGTTGAGAGAGAGAGAGAGAGTTGAGGGAGAGAGAGACAGAGGTCGTGTTTTGTAGGCGAGGTGAAACGGGCCAACTCAACATCAAATGTCTTGAGAGGAGAAGGAAAAGGGGCCAACTCAAGCTGCCCGACGACCGATCCCAGAGCAGTGGGAAGGATTGCTTTCACGGGAACTGCATGGTGCATGGCCGCACACACGACGAAGGCTCTCCTGCGCTCTGCTGGCGAATGCACACACCTCTATTCTACAACTAGTCTCGCGCGTGATGGTTTGATTTTTTGTTTGCGAAAAAACAACACACCATCCACACTTGAAAACAGAGCCAGCATTGAACGACACGAAGTCAGTCGTTCACAAAAAAAAGGGGGGCAACGCGCACGGCACGTGCGCGGTTAGCACGAAAGACCGGTGTAGTAGCGCACAGACGGAAGTTACGCACTTGTCTTTGATTGGGGAGCCCCGGCAAAAGCTTTGTGCGTGCTCTCATTCCCAATTACCCCCTCTCATTTTGAACACCTCCTGCTGTATGCGTGGGGTGTTGTGGCCGTTTTTCAAGCGTCGGTCGACGGAGAGAGAGAGAGCGGTTCAGAACCGTGATGGAGTAGCAGCAACAACGCACCACGAGCTTTCGCCGGGCAGAGCCCACAAGGGCGTACGCGATGGACCTTCCTCACCTCTACCTCTCCTCTCACCTGGGATTTCGCCCGCCGCGGAAACGAACGCGTGTCCTGACCTCGTGGGCCCGTCGCTCCGGCACCCAAGAAGATTTGAAAACTCAAAACTTGGGAAAGAAGACAAACTTTGAAAAAACACAAACACGAAGTTGTTTCCGGTGTTTGCTGCACACCTCTCAGCCGAAAACAAGCGCTTTCGGGGTATCTCCCGCCGGCAAAAGGCCAGGTAGATCAGTCGCGATCGCACGCTTGCACCCCTTTGACCTTCCGTCTCTGGTGGAATCGCTTCTGTTTCTGTGCGTGCGGTGTCGGCCCCACAGGAGAGAGATGATGCAGAAAATTTTGACGGTGGTGGCCCCGTCGTTTATTTGATGGGGTATGCATTGAGCATTCTGCGATCCTCCCGGTTCTGGCCGCCATCATATAGGAGGATGCCTTCTGGACAGAGGGGCGTCGAAAGGAGAGAGGGTATCACTGCGCGCGCGTCCTGCGGAAGAGGAGAGTGCGTGAGCCCCTCAGGACAGCCCACGCTCCGGTGTACCCTTGCTCTTCAACCTGGGAATCAACGCGCTGGTTTGTACATTCCTTGGTAAGCGTGAGCGGGAGAGAATTTTGATCCGAACAATCACCATGGTGTTCCCCTTGTCCGCAAAAGGGCGAGGGTCTCCGCACCGGCGGCAACAGAACGGCAACGGGGGCGGCGTCATCCCTCGAGAAAAGGTGTCGCGGTTTGTCTTTTTGTCCGTGCTTCTCGTTGTGTACTCGGCTTTCACGCTGGGGTTGATCCTCTGGAACAGCAAGAGTAGCAGCAGCAACGCTCCCGAACCTTTACCCATCGATCAAAGCGGCGGCGGGGGATCAATCCATCTCGGATCGGAGGCATTAGCAGGAGGAGACAAGGTGGCTTCGTCATTGCCAATAAGAGAAGGAAGAAGAGCGGCAGGAGCGGGCGAAGCACAAGCGGGGTTTGGCGACGAGGGAAAGTCAACGGGGAGACACTCGCCTGCTGGGTCGGCAGGAAGCAACAAGTTGGTCGGGGCACCGGGTGGGGAGGGCATCATGGATGATCAGAGGCACGGCGGTGGTGGTTTCGGTGCGAGTGGCGTGATAGCACCAAGATCAGGCGAAGCACGCCCAGCCGGTGCACATAAGGTCAGGATGGAGGATGGGCCAAGCTTTCTGCGACAGGGTGGGCAGGTGAGAGGAATAGGAACAGGAACAAAAGGCCCGTAATGAGAGTCCAAACCCCCAGAATGTCAACGCGAACGAATGGCGGAACAAATCACTACAACAGAGTTATTTAAAACTCGATTCATTAAGGAATAATAAAAACACACACAGAAAGACTACCCATTCGAGATATGCCCACAGTAGTCGAACGGGATGTGGTGGAGTCTTTTCAGTGAGTGAAACTCGATTCATGGACCGGCTGGACTTTTTTGGGCCTTTCGCTGCTTTGTACATTTTTGGTGAAAAACTCTCGTGATATAAAACTCGAGAATAGGACTGT